ATAGAAAAAAATCGTTTTCCCATTTGTAGCATTGGCGACGCTACCATGATGACCATTGTTAAGATTGTAAAAACAGAGAAGGTTGTTGTATATGTATGTACCTGTGAGTGGTTGATGGATTTTTGAGACACAGTAAAATAATGTTTGTTGCCTTGGCTTCTTGAAGGTGTGATACATAGAGCAGTGATGACACCAAACAAAAGGACTGGCTGACAGGACATTTTTAACCCATAATTTTCAAGTCAAGAAAGGTCGATTGAATTACTATGACCTGGAGTGTGTGTGACAAGAAATATGTTATTTTAATCATACAAATAATTGTGATTCGTTAAATATGTATTTTCCTACAAAAGTTTTTTTTGGTGAACACGAGTCAACAAATTATTTTTTTTTTTGTATTAGCATCAGTATTACTATTACTATTACATATTAGTAATTTCCGTGATTATGATTAGTGGTAGTTTTGCAGCGTAATGAATTCGTAATAATAATAACAACAAGTTGCAAAAAAAATTTCGTAAGGTGATTTACTTATATGACAAATAACATTACTATTACAAAAACCATAATTATAATAATATAAAGCAACAACAATATAAGAATAGTATCATAATAAAAATCTTCAAAAAGCATAACGCATCATTTAAAAAAAAGTGTGTCTACTTACCACAAAATTTAGAAACAATTGATAATTATTATACTAGCAATAATAGTATATGTAGTTGTTATACGAGTAAATACTTGTAGTGGTTATAATAATAAAAATCTTTATTATAGCGACAAAATCTATTTTTCAAGAGGTTCCACTTGCACCTCCAGATGTTATCTTCAATCTTACTGCTTCATATAACGCAGATACTGATACTCAAAAAGTAAACTTGGGTGTTGGTGCATATCGTGATGACAATGGAAAACCTTGGATTTTACCAGTTGTAAAAAAGGTATCACAGCATAAGAATTGAGAGGAATCGATTAATCGATTAAAAATTAATTCAAAAAATAATAATTCTTATATATCTATTTTTTTCAGGCCGAACAAATTATTATAAATAATTCCACATTAAATCATGAATATCTTCCCATTACTGGACTTAAACCGTTTAAAGAAGCAGCTGTTAGATTGATTCTTGGTGAAAACAGTCCAGTCATTAAAGAAAATAGAGTAATTAACTGTTGATTTTTTATTATTATTTATGACGCGAAAATTTAAATTTTTTATTTTTGTTATGGTAGATTGTAAGTGTACAGACAATATCAGGAACAGGTGCAAACCACTTGGGTGGATTATTCTTATCTAGATTCTATAAAAAAGCTTCTACAATCTATGTGTCTAATCCTACATGGGGTATTATAATTATATTCTATATTATTTTATGTTATTAATTGATTGTTATATTTATTCTTATGAACTATACTATTGTCATTATTATTATTATTCAGCAAATCATAAACCTATTTTCAATACAATTGGATTAGATGTTGGGGATTATGTTTATTATAATCCTTCAACAATTGGATTGGATATTGATGGATTATTACAATCCCTCAAGGTACTTACATACATGCATGAATATATACACATTTATAATAAATAATAACTTATATTATATATTAACTTGTAACTTTGTTATAATAGTCAGCACAAGATGGATCTATTATTTTATTACATGCATGTGCTCATAATCCAACTGGCGTAGATCCTACTCAAGAACAATGGATAATGATTGCTGATGTTATGGAAGTATGTTGATATTGATTCAAAAATGTTTTGGGGGGGATAAAAATATCATCACCATCATCATCATCATCATTATTATTATTACGTATGAAACTTACACAAGTACTTTTTATATCCTTATTTCACATTTATAGTCTAAAGGTCATTTCCCATTTTTTGATTGTGCATATCAAGGTTTTGCAAGTGGTGATTTAGATAAAGATGCTTGGGCTGTTCGTTACTTTATTGAACGCGGGTTCGAATTATTAATTTGTCAATCTTTTGCAAAAAATTTTGGTTTATATGGTATTTGTTGTTTTTTTTTTTTGAGTGTATAAATTTTTTAAATTAATAAAATTAATATCATTCAAATTATTTGATTTTATACTTGATTTTAGGGCAACGTGCTGGATGTTTAACATTTGTTCTTAAGAATGCTGATGCAGCTGCAAGAGTAGAAAGTCAACTTGCAAAACTTCAACGTGCTGAAATTTCTAATCCGCCAATTCATGGAGCTCGTATTGTTAACACTGTGTTAAATGATCCAGCTCTTTATACTGAGTGGTAGGTGTTCTTTATTTAATTATCATAATATTAATAATTAATAATATCACAATAGTAGTGATAATAATTGTTTCATTTGTTAAATAGGACAGAAAATCTTAAAACTATGAGTTATCGTATACAAGAGATGCGCAAACGTCTTTATGAAAAACTTATTGAGCTAAATACTCCAGGAACTTGGAATCATATAACAGATCAAATTGGAATGTTTTCTTATACTGGGCTCAAAGGTAATAAAACAAATGAATAAATACATGTTATTAAAAAGAATTTCATTAAATGATTAATTGATTAATTCTTATGTAAAAACATAGCACAACATGTTAAAATGCTTAAAGAAAAATATCATATTTATTTGGTTGATAATGGACGTATTTCAATGGCAGGATTAAATTCATCAAATGTTGACTATTTTGCACAAGCAGTTGATGATGTTGTTAGAACTGTTTTGGTCCCTTGATTAATTAACTAGTTAAAAATTATTTATTGATTAACTATTCGAGTATTTTTTGTAATTTTAGAATTAAATTTTTTCCTCCCATAATAAAGATTATGATTATTCTTTTTTTTTTTACTTGATTTTATTAGCTTGTTCTTCATTTTATCAAAAATATTACAATCAGATTTACTTATAGACCATGACTTACTACTATCAAGGAAGCTTCAATCATGATGATTATTAATATGTCTTCAACACTCATTTATTAAGGCTAAGGCTTGGATGCAATTCTAAAAATACTGCTCTAGCAAACTATCCTCAACTAATACCAATCAAGTGATAACGCAAAGTGTATCAAAGTTAATAATGCCCTAACTAAATATACAAATCACACTTACAGTATAGCAATCTCTTGCATTATCGGGCTCATGAGTCAGTCCAAAAGAAGGCTGTCTAATCTTACTTGGATGTTCGTAATTGTCAACAACTAACTGACTGTGTTTGTTATTAATTCGTGCTCTGTGAGACAACTGCAAAATTTTGCCGATCATTAATATAATAATAATTTTTAGAATTTTTGGAATATGACCGTTCCTCACGTGATTAAGCATGATTACGCGCGACATTAAATTTTAAAATTTAAACTTTTCAAAGTAACCAAACATCTATTTATATTTCTTTTTTTTGAATAAAACTAAACACAAACGCCTATTTATATTTTTTTCTTGAATAATT